ACCTTCATTGAGCGATTTACAGAAAGCATCGATAGTCTGGTTCAGGTGGAATGGAGTAAGCGGGTTAGTAACCCAGATGTAAATCGTCATGTTTTTGGGAGTATATCGCGGAAAAATTCGAATTTAGCACACAAAAGCTTCACTGGAGTGAAGCTGCTTCAGCACTGCATCGCGGTTGCCGTAGGAAACCACGTGGAAACAAGGTATGAAGAAATGCACATCATCATCATCATCGCATACAGGGAAGCGATTAGTTAGAACAGGTGTCACCCGTCCTCTCGGTTGGGGTCCGAAAGACTCCGTAAATTTTTGGTTGTAGACACTGAAGAATGGATTATGTACTATGTATATTGATCAGAGAGGCTCATTTTCTTTCGTTCTCCCTTACAATGAGTCCAATTCCTGTCCTTACACAGTATCACCTGCCTTGTGAATTTGGCACTGATCAGTGAAGTTCGCTTCACTGTATTCTGCTGTTCAATGATGACGTTGTTCAGTTCAGTACTTAACCTGCCGATCGTGCTTTTTCATACTCATTTTCCTACACTGGTGTGGCTACTCTTTTGAAGTGAATATGCACAGTATTATTTGCGACGGAGTTTTGCTAGCAATTATTTTATTTTTTCTCTTCTTTGTTCATCCATGACCACCGACAGCCCGGAGAATAATGCAGCTGCTAGCCTCCGTCAGGACATGACCATTTCCGAATGCAATAAAAACTGTGCGTGCGATCGCAATGACTGGTTTCCCATGTGTCATGTACCTTCGGGCATCTCGTTCATTTCTCCCTGTTTCGCTGGCTGTACGAGCAGATCCGAGAGCGTGGATCGATCGAAGCACGTACGTTTCTTTATCGCCTCTTCTTCTCTCACTCACATACACACACAGTGGTCACCGTTTTGTTTGCTCATGCTAGCAGGTAGCTCAACTGCTATTTGTATCGCCCCGTTTTATCTACCTTACCATCATCGCACTTCCGTGTACTCTATCCCTTACTGATCTTTTCGTGGGCCTAATTCACATTCATTGTTCGGTTGTTCTCCCTCGCCCCGTTACCCCATTTTATCGATGCGTGTATGAGCATGTGAGTTGTGCGCCCTAAGAAACCGGAGAACCCGTTCGTGTAGGCACGAAATGACCGGCACAGTCGAGAGACCAATCGCCCGGTGTGTATCACACGTTCATTCCACTCATTCGAACAGGGTGCCACGCTCCGCTAAGTCCTCCCATCTTAAATTGGCTCACGTTACTGCTGCAAGCTCAGCACTCATGTACCTATCCTACATTCGATTCCTTGGCGGTGTTTTATAAAGATTTTTTTCCTAAAGTGCATTCAAACCTCGGCGTTTACCATCATCAGCCGGAGGTTTTTCTTATTCCTACGGTTGTGGCTGCCTAAGTTCCGTGTGAAATGTTTTGTCCCCTGTTTGAAATGCTCTCTTTGGTGCTACTTACTGGCAGAGTTGCTTCATTGTTTTGTTTCGCATCACTTAGTGGCGTCGCCATTCTGAGTCATTTATTGTGGCTCGTTGGGCGCTTGATTGAACAGTATCTCTTGGAGCCATTCAGCCTTGACTTGCTCATCATTTTTTCGAGGACTCAATCTAGATCTCCGATCCTAAGTTACACATATTCAATGCATACTTCAAAGCGAATGCCATTCGCGAAGCATCGAAATCGACCGTGTGTTAGAGGTATTTGAGTTATGTAATTCCGAGCCGAAGCGTTACTTGACAGCAAGCCCTCAGATAGGTTGGTACTGGGATCCCCGGGTACAGCTAGTATCAGTTTCGGTTGTTTTGTCTTTTCCATTTCACAATAGCAAACAGTACTTGTCACTAGAAATTACCAAGGTAGAATATATGGACACGAAATCTTCGATCTATTTATTCGTCACGTGAGCTNNNACACACAGTTTAGGTAATCGCTTTGGGTGTGTATATTGATGAAATGCGTACGTTTGATGTGACTTATCGGTCCCGGTGATCTTGAACTTGCTCCGAGCAGGCAATCGCTTTTGACAATCAGAAAGACCGAATCATCTGTCTCAAAGAGCCATTATATTGCTTTCCCGAACTATGGAGGTAGTGAGACGTGCATAGATTAGAGAAGCGTAAGCCAAAAGTACTCTCACAGCAATCCATTACCAAACTATCGTAAATAAAATGACAGAGTACACAGTAGTTTGAGAGAAGTGTGTTTGGAAGCCTACTTTAAACAGCCGATATTTTTAGCAATACATAGCAGTACGGCTCTCTCACGATGTGTGCGCTACTAGATAGTTCGTCGTTATCTGTGGACCTTCAAAATCCTTACCGCAATGAAATCAGGAAATTTTTCTTGCTATTTATTTTTTGGATAAATAATTACATAAACGAGGACTGCTGCGTAATATAGAAACAAGGAGGATTCTAGTGTTAGTAGTGGTTGGGTCTGAAAGCACTATCTGNTATTCGGGTTGGTACCCATAAAACGGGCATCCGTTGGTGCATCACATCGGCCGATGGTGGGTAAGCGTTATGCTCGACCATCGCTTCCCCTATTCGAATCTCACCTTCCTATAACAAGCCATGCATGGCTTCAAAGGATTTCTTTATCCACGTTGTTGTTGTTGCTGCTGTTGTGCCCATACGATTTAGTATTCAATATCGTACAATTCCACCTTTTCCGGAAGTTTTTTTCCAAAAAGCTCATTATCCCGCATGGCTTTATTTTTCGCATCTATATTCGATCGGGGTCTCTCTGCATATTCTCTCCCTTTCCTATCTCACCACTGACTGTAGCCATTCTTTCAAGATTGCTCTTGCCTGCCTATGGTCACCCAGAACAACACACAGGATTTGGGACGAGTGGTGTACGGCCAGTGTCCGTTACAGTGTGACACAATCGTCCTATTCGTGATCGTACTCACTACGTGCCTGTTTCTCACTGGGGTTATTCAAAACCCGTTGCTCATGGTCACCATGCGTTCGGTCAATCATAGTGAACGTTCGTTTGCGCTCGGTTTGCAATTCGTCATCATTCGCCTATTAGCTAATATGCCCTCGCCGATCGTGTTCGGTCGTGTGATTGACGAGGCGTGTCACTATTGGCGATACGAATCCGGTCGTCGTGGTGATTGTGCGTTTGTGGATGTACGAAAGTTGAATTTGTACATGACAGGTGAGTGGTTTCCTCCCATACTCTGTCTCTTGGTCCTTATATTTGCTATTAACTTGAATCGATTGAGGACATTATCAGACAGTCATACACTTGAGATTACAGTGAATAGAGATTGTGTCATTTTGACAAATTTCATCCTTGTTAACACCGGGAGTAAAATCGGTGTTTCGAGTGCCTACTGTCCCGCTCCAGCAACCGGAAATCTAAGCGAAACCGTGCAAATTAGTTGTCTGTTAAATGACTGAAGCTCTTATTAGATCGTAGAGTCTAATGTTGGGTTGACTGAATGATCTGATGATTGTTCGTGAAGGTACAGTCTAGATGACCATACATTCATTTCAGTGTATTATATCTATTAACGAATTGGGCGGATCCTATTCGGAGTGCTCCCTGCATACAGGTTTGTATCAGTAACAGCATACATGGACGACAGAGCAATATACTCATATAGAAAAAGTTTTGAAAAGTTATTTGATTGTAAAGTATAAACTCAGCATTCAAAACTCATGTACTGAGCCCCACTGAGAATCTCTCGTGAACATTGAACGGTGACTTGTCGTTCGGTCTGTCGCTAGCCCGCATTGATCGACAGTCACCGGACTAACAGAGATTCAAATAGAAACACGCGTTTCCCATTCCCACTTCTCTGTCTGACTTAGTTACATTTGTCTTGCGTATTTACGTTCACAGACTCGTTTTATTTATTTTTGTGAGTGAATTAAAAACTCTCAGTTCCACCTGGTCCATATTATTTCTATTCGAGCATAAACATTTCGTCCAGAATAATGAATGAAATCGTGCTTGTATCCGCTCCGTGCCTTCTATTTCGCAGGTCTTGGTGTCACCATAAAAGGGATTGGATTTCTCTTCTATTTGTTATTACTCTATCTGTTACGGTCATCTTCTGGTCAACAAACTGGAAACGAATTGGGTTTGGGACCTGCACAAATGATCAGGAAAACGGATATTAGTCCGGACTCCTCACTGGCTACGACCAACCCAGCGACAGTTGTTTGACTGATCCACCAATCAACTTCAACCACACACACAGACATGATACCCACCGGACCCCGGGAGATCAAATTATTTTAATTTTGTTCCTTTTTGTATTACCGCTCAGCATTTGTGCAACGTTTCACCGTCTTCGCTTACAAGCCCGCATTCGACCAAGTTCGAAACGACAGATGAACAAAATACCCCCACCCACCCGCCTTCGTTTGTTCTTTTCCACTACCTAAAGTTGCATTTTCTTCCAGTGGGCAAGCCCACTCCAAGGATGTACATGATGGTACGAGTGTGCTTGAGACTACCTTTTCCCCGATGAGAAAGACCGACCAATTTTTCTCTCCATCTCTTACCATTTCTCTCTCCCACTTATTTTGTTTTCAACTCCTGGATCGCCCGCCACTGTTTGCTTTATGTCCTCAATTTCTTGAGTCGCCTTGACGCGTTTTTTTTGCTCCTCGGGAGGGGAAGGGGGCAAATAATTCAAACCATCCGCATCCGCATCAATCTCCCGGAAACTTGTGAACCCCTCTTCGGAAAATTTTGCAAACACCTTGGTGCGTAAATGACTTTCTGCCAACCGTTCGCATATCGAAAGCCCCGGTCGACTGACTGAAGACTGAAAACGAAAAATTGTCATAATCTTTCGATCCCTCTTTCTCGCTGAAGAAACTGTTTGATGGGCGCCAAATTGTACATGTTTGTTACCTGTGTATAGCCAACGATATTTTCACGGAAATTCAGAAGTACAAGCACACACACATATACACATAAACCGGGCAATTTATCTGAACTGATATCACACATGTATTGCCCCTGACCGTCTTTGAGGTGCTGTTACTCTGCCCATCTTTGGAGATCCTATTTTAATTCTAATTGCCAGTATATGAAAACATATATGAACTTATATACAGTTCGATATATCTGATGACTCATGGGTTCTTCCCTATTCCCTGTCTGCCTGAATTGCATCAAAAATACCGTGCTTGCTGAGTAACCGATGCGGAAGATGTGACCGCTCGGTCGTGGAACACACTGGATACTGCTACTATGGAGGTGGTACAACTATGCAATTAACTCTTAGAGCTGGGTCCGAGATTGAAATGCGGTTGAATGGCTCCGCGCTAAATATCCGTTTGAATGGACAGTGAACCGGAGCATCATAGTCTCCACAGTCCATTTTGATTTGACGTTAAGTTTGCGTGACGGCGATTTGAATGCACTCCCGGTCAGTTAGTTCTATAGTTTTTTTCAATTCTGTACTCGAATAGTCCGAGACAAGAGAGTTTCGGGGTGTTCTGTGTGTGCCAGTAAGGTCGTGCAACATATAACTTGCACCAATGAGGTCAGGTCTCTGTTGTTAACCGAGGGAAAACACAATTTGCATGGGGAATGCAGCTTATTTATTCCTTTCCAAATAACCGGAAAATTTGTTCGTGTCCAATTTTGTATAATGGAGAATGAAATGTGGATCTGCCGGTTACTTGCATGGTGTCAATTGGACAATAAATTTTAATGTCTAGTCGTTTAAGTGCAGCTCTAACGTGGATGCCCGACGCAGATATTAAATTCCGTTTTCGAGGAAATGCAGCTGGGGCGTGGGTGGAGGTTTCGACAGCGGAGAAGTTGCAGGACTGAGGATTGAGTAGGTTTTTGCGAATGGCGCAATTGGTGGTTAGTGTTTTCCTAGTGGTGTTCACGAGAGGATTACCGAGCGTTGCACCTCACGTTCATGTTAATCGCACTTTTTGGTAACGTGTTACTTTTTACCGCGCGATCCGTCGAACATCTACTTGGTATGGGCATTTTGACCCAGCTGAGAGCCAGAGAGAAGTATTCCATTTGGCCTAGCTTGGCAATTTGTTTGCCAACGTTTCATCACCAACCGGGGTGACATCGTCTCTACTGGTGAAGTATTATCCGGTTTAAGTACTAATGGCGGATTTAGTGAGATTCCGGAGAAAAACTGGTCGTGAAAGGAATACGAAAGTGGTCTTTGTTTGGAAGCCAGGTTACCAGTGCACGCTATCTAAGATAGATTTAGGGTGATTTCCCGTGACGTCAAAGATATTCTGGATAGTGGACAATAGGGTTGTCCACTCAGGATTGTTTCATTCAAACTTTGTAGCTCATAAGTTGTTTGATTTCGATAAAACAAAAGCTGCTAACAAAATAAGTTAAAGCGAAATGCAGATAAGTTGAGATACAGGTATAAATAGGCCTCTGAGCATTGCGGACAGCTGCTGTATAAGTTAAGCTGAAAGAGGGCGTGATACACCCCAAAGAATACGGACACTCAGTCTCTCGTATTCATATATGTATATATAATCACAGTTAAGAAATCGCTTGAATAGCACAAAGATCTTGTGAAATAAACCAGTAAAGATAAATGGAGAACAATCGGAACAGTTTCAAAGGGAGCAATGATCGAGTCCTTTCCTGTTTCTCAAAATATGAAGACTCCAAATTTTAGCGTAGGAAATGTTTCCTGAATGTACTGGTATCACCCAAGGTCATCTGAAGAATAAACACTGAGCTACTTCAACGAGGTTTGTTACCTGCTGGAGAAGTCTGTCACGATTCTAGAATTACTCTCATGAATAGAACAAGAACTACGGTCGCCCGTTGAAATACAATGTCAAATTAATAATCGACGAGCTCGGAGACTTATACCATCCTACAGCAAATGAAATCTACCGTGGTAATACCGCAGTGGAAGAAGCACCCGATAACAACCTCACTAAAGTACATCTGTGTGAAGTATCATGTTGTAAGAGGTAGACTTCACCTTTACAAAATACAGAACCGTCGAAAGGTTGGAACGTACATTTTTGATTATGGAACGATGGCAAACCTGTACCCGTCTAAACCAACAGTGTATTGACCTCGATCGGGTAAGCATTCATGCAACCAGTTCAATAGCAACAGGAAATCGTTGTAATGATCGATGTTAAATTACCTAAGTGTGTGAGCTGGATTGCTTGTGTGTACAAACAAACTGTTCAGAAGCTCCTAGTCAATCGTAAAGTAACGAAAACGCGTCAGACGGTCACATGTTTTCAACCCATTACAAATGTTTCCACTGGATGTGTCGCCAAGTCCAGTCCAGAAGCACTTCATGCACCCGATGGATGAATTTTCAGTATTTTACGAATTTCGGTAGTGCATGTGTATTGATAAAAATAAAAATATCGCTGTTTGAGGAGTGTTTCCTTGAGGTAGCTCACGGTAAATGTACAACTAAGTAGAAAACGGGCAAGGTATGGGGTATTATTGTTTCTGTATGTGGATGTTACCCCACGGAGCGGTTGAAATTCGTCTCACGTTCGGAGATTCGACACGAATTTCATAAATTCATGATGAAGACAGTACTCTTTATCATCAACTATCCTATCAATCACACACACTCAACCGTAATGGTTATTTTAACTCCACTGTATCGATGTGAAACGTTAATCGATCTTCTTAACCGCTGATAAATATACGAAAGCAGTGTAACCGTTCTGGACTGATGCATGCGATAGAAAACTTAAGAATAGGGGTTTGGGAACGGGTAGGTTCCCGAACCTGTATGCATGAAAGGATATTCCTCGAAATTTTGTGAAATACTTTTCAATGTTAGTAGATCCGGAAAAGTTATACATGAGAGTGACATCAATGAACGTAACAAAATCAGATTTGGAGATGCTCTGATACGTCCTAGCAAGAACTGGGGTTAGCGGTGGACGGGGTGGGGGTGGGGGGTAAACATGTTGAGCTAGCGCGAGGGGAGGAGGTTCAATTTCGAGACTGAAGAGAACATCCACCCGCCTGCTGTTATTGATAAAGGGGATCAATCATGAAGTTCATTTAGTCGGTCCTGGAGTGGATGGGAACCATTTCGACGAGGGAATTGACAGTCAATCTTCAACATACTTGCAGACAAAAATGTTTCCGGGAATGTGTACCAAGAAAATCAAAAACAACTGAGTCAGAATAGCATCATGAAATTGACTATACAATCAATGTTTAAGAAAGAAAACTGATTACCATAAAATGAAGTCAACTGGACTATGACTACTTAATCAGACAAACCTCTTCAGTTTTTGGTGTTACATTCAGAAGGAAATTGAATAAACACCACTCAGTGAAAAGAGCGAATGGCGTTTGTATAATCTAGGGAAGTTCAACGATCGGTTTCAGCATTACCTATGCACTTTCGTGTGACTATTTGGGATGCTTTCTTTGGACTGCCCTTTTA